TTGACCCTGGTGTTCTAGGCTGCCTTGGAATTCTGAATAGAAGCCTCCTTGATCCCACAACTCTTACATTCTGCATCCCAGTAACACCAGTAGCATTATGCCAAGGTCTGCTATCAGCTTAAGCAGCCTTGAACCATGGTTTCAGTGGGCATTGAATGTCTGGATGGCCTTACCCAGTGACATGAATCCCAGGAAACCCATTTCCCAGGTAGGTCTTCTTGAGCAGAGGGCCTAAGGGCTCTCTTCTCAAATGAAAAATTTACACTTTTGAGCCTGTGATGTGTGGAATTTTGCTAATTCATAAAATTCCTTCAAGCCATTTTCCTATTGTCCTGATCTTTTTAATGATAATCTTTTCAACAACTACACTCTCATTTCCTCCAATTTTACAGGTGTTCCTCTTCTAGCCAAGCTTTGCGTGATTTAGTTCTGCTTTTTTGCTCCTGATTCTCACTGAAAATCTGACTGAATGCAGGCAGCACTATCCATGCTTGAAGTTCTAACTTTGAGCTTCCTTGAAATTTCTTCCAACAGGTTAATTAGCCTAATGCCCTCAACCACAATCATTCAGTTTCAGAACATGGTTATATGGAAGTTTTCTTCCAAAACTTAACACATATACTCTCTAGCCCAAGTGCCAAGGGAGTCTTTACTCATGATGAAACTGTCTGAGCCTGACCTTTACTGGCCACATTCTTATTAGCATTCTAATCTTCTGAGTTCTGACTAGTACCACACATCAAGCCTTGCTCATAGCATTCTAGGGCTTCTCTATAATCCCCAAGCTTCCCAAATTCCACCTGTAAACATTGTGTCAGCTTGAGAATTTTGGAAGTTTAAGTAACTCAGCAAAGGGGCAGAGTCCTCACTTTTTTTTAATGTAAGAGAGAAAAAAACATAGAAGAGAAAAAAAAAGCAAAAGAGACAAACAACAATAAGTAATCCAAAATAATAACAATATAGACTTTCAAAACAATATTAAAAAAATCCTAGATGATAGGAATTTAACAATGGTTATTATATTGTACATTGTTATCTTCAAAAGGATTGCTTGGATGACCAGATATGGCCATGCAAAATTGATCTAATCATATGAATATTAACTGTTCTTGTCCAAGAACTAATAGAATTAGTAGTATAGTCATCATAACTATATTATATATATATACACACACAAATTTATGTCTTTTTCCTTTTCCCTTCTTTCTTTCTTCCTTTCCCCTATCCTAGGTACTTTTCTCCTTTGAGCACTTTCTTACGCTTAGGCAATATTTATTTTAGACTTTGGATCTTATTTGCTCTCTCAGTTTCTTACACTAGGGAGACAATATGGTATTTACACATGTGAGTTTGATTTATTTCACTTATGAGTATGATCTCAAATTATATTCATTTACCTATAGAAGCCTCCATGCAATCTTTTGTTATAGCTGATTAGTATTCTATTATATAAAAATACCACATCTTTTTTATTCATTCTTCATTTGAAGGGCATTTGGATTGTTTCCAAGGTTTCACTATTACAAATTGTGCTGCTATAAACATGGGTGCACATGTGTCACTGTGGTATGATGTTTTGAATTCTTCTCGGAAAATGCCCAAAAGTAGAATAGCTGGGTCGAATGGAACCTCTAATCCTAGGTTTTTGAGAAACCTCCACATTTACTTCTACAGTGGTGGCACTAGCCTCCACTCCTGCCACCAGTGGAGAAGAGTTCCTTTTACCCTACAGCCTCTCTAGCAAATTTTATTGGTTATTTCTTGATCTTGTCCATTCTTTCTGGAGTGAGACAGAATCTCAATGGAGTTTTGGGAGTCTTCTGTGTTGAGTATCATGTCACCTGCAAATAATGATAATTTAACTTCTTCCTTTCCTATCCTTATTCCTTTCATCTTTCTCTTGTCTAATTGCTCTAGCTAATGTTTTCAGAACTATATTGAGTAGGAATTGTGATAGTGGACATTCTTGTTTGATTCCTCATTTTAGGTTAAAAGCTTTCAGTTTTTGTCCATTTAGTAAGATGTTGGCTGTTGGTTTATCATATATGGCTTTTATCAGATTGAGGTAAATATCATCTATTCCAATTTTCTGTTGGGTTTTTATCATGAATGAATGTTGGATTTTATCAGAAGGTTTTTATACATCTATTGAGATGATCATGCAATTCTTGTCTTTGTCTTGGTTGATATGGTATGGTATGTTTATTGATTTGCATGTGTTGAACCACTCCTGCATTCCTGGGATGAATCCTACTTGATCATGGTGTATAATCTGCTTCCAGTATTTTGTTGAGGGTTTTTGCATCTATGTTCATTAGGGAGACTGGCCTGTAATTCTCTTTTTTGGTTTGCACACATCCTGAGTATGAACAAGAGAAGGGCACCAAGATGGTGGGAGTGCTACACCCACCCTGGGAGGTGGGCAATGTACTTACAATACAAACAAGGAAAAGAGGCTCACTCTTCCTCCCTTTAACTCTTGTTGCTTTTACTGTCTTCTGACACCACAAATTGTTGCCCCTCCATTTGTTGTTTGTGTACAGGAATGCTATTGATTTTTGAGTGTTGACTTTGTACCCAGCTACATTACTAATGAGCCTCTGATGTTACTCAAATCTATATAACTCTTAAATGTTTTCTTCTGGTGTTGAAGGAAGTTTTTTCTTTTTTTGTGATGCTGAGGATCGAACACTAGGCCTTATGCATGCTAGACAAATACATTAATACTTGACCTATATCTCTAGCCATATCACAATGCTTTCTTCCTAACCACTTGACAATTTACCCTGAGCATCACTCAGGCAGTGCATTTGTTTACATACTATCTTGAGCATTACTCGGGCAGATGTCATTTCAACCAGTCATTTCTTGTTTGTAGGAGATAAACATGTATGTCTATGTGTTCTGTATTGATTGATTGCCTTTCCATACTTTTTATTTAGAATGTTATATTTGCCTTTAATATTTGTTTCTAGTGAAATCTAATAGTAAGTTCTAGTTATTTTGTTTCACTAATTTACGTTTATCTGTGCAAAATAACCTGTAAGTTTTGCTAAAATCTATAAGAACTCTTATTGTAAGTACATTTGATGCAATTTGTATACATCTCCAGAAAACAGTGATATTTTTTTATAATACAAAACAGACATGTTTGGGACACTGAGACTGAGTGGAATGTGCCAAAAGATCTGCAAAAGAAAAAACTGAAGAAGGGAGAAATGTTAAGATATCAGAGAGGAAAAACCTGTGTTGTGAAATAGAAAGACAATGCAGGCATCTCCTTCTTGTCAACAGAAATGGTAGAACTTTATTTTTTTTATTTTTAATTCTATTTAAAGAAAGACTAAACAAAACAGAAAATGGGTAGAAATAATACATACTTTCAAAGAAAAAATAAACAGTAAGAAATCACTAGTTGATGATTACATATTGCCTCTTACAAATAGTTGTTCAAGATACAAAAGTGAAACATACAAAGTGAAACATACAAACAGCAAAACTACAAATGGTTCTGTTCAACTACCCAACAAAAACCTAGTAATCGTATACACTTAAACATACATGCAGTTATCCATATCTTCACTTATGTTGAGATTAAACAAACCATAGCATGCTAAAATCACTCTGAACAAAGAATAATACTATATTGCTGGGTTTCACATCATGACACTACCGGATCAGTACTGGATACTGTAGTGTCTCTTTTTTTTCAAAGTATTTGTTCATTTCATCATGTGTTATAAGACCAGTTCTTGTAAACTGTTTATAGGTTCTACACATGCATAAGTCTTAACATGTACTTCTATCCTTTCTATATTAGAGGGAGAAACAAAACAAAGCATATTCCTATACACATGAAACAAAAAAAAGACATATAAAACCACTGTACAAGGAGTTCTACAATGGCTACTGTGTTGTCTCTTGTTATCTTCAATAGAATTGTCTATATCTTCAGACATAGTATAAGTGAATATAGCAATACATAACAATATTAATAAAAACAAAACTTTGTAGATAGTGTAAAACTTCAAAAACAGACAGTAATCAAACCGGAATGGGTATTGTAGTGATTCTTGTCATCTTCAGTGTAGTTGCCTATACTCTTAGACTTGATACTATCAATCATAACAGTTTTGAATAAAATCTGTTGATACCAAACAGCAATCAAACAAACCAGATTTAACTAAGATCAGTCATGATAAAACAGTATAAGTTGTACAGAGCTCCAGATTAAGTTAATAGGAAATTAAAGATGATTACTGTACTATATCCTGTTATTTTTGGGATAGCTGTCTGCTCCCTCAGATCTAGTACAAGTAGACAAAACGGGACAGAACAAAATCTAAGCAGAGCAGTGAGAGCAATGTGGGTTTTAAGTCCTCATATACTATTAACAATATCCTCTGCCATCTTTTTAAAGACTATTCCTCCCTCTCTCTCTAGAATGCCCTGCAGTATTCTCTGTAGAGTTGGATTGGTGGTTGTGAATTTCCCATGTTCCTCTTTGTCTTGGAAGAATCTTGTTTCTCCATTAATTTCTAGAGACAGTTTAGCAAGGTACATCAATCTGGGGTGGAGGTTATTTTCTTTCAGGGCTTAGAATACTTTGCTACAAGCTCTTCTTGTTTTGATGGTCTGTATTGAGAAGTCTGCCATGATTTTGATGGGTTTTCCTTTATAGGTGATCTGTTTCTTTTCTCTGATGGCTTTTAATATTCTGTTCTTATACTGAATTTCTGGAATCTTGATTATTATATGCGTGGGTGTAGCTCTGTTTTGGTTGTAGGTGGCTGGAGTTCTGTATGCCTCATATATCTGAATATCATTTCCTTTTCCTATGCTTGGGAAGTTTTCCTTAATTATTTCTGTGAATAGCCCTTGTAGTTTCTTTGTTTGTACCCCTGCTTCTTTATTCACATTCTTTACTCTTAAGTTATAGATCTTCTTGTCATCTTCTAGCCTTTGTATTGTTACTGCCTTTCCTTATTATTTTTAAGAAATTTTTCCTTTCATGATTACACATTGCAAACCTGTTTTCCAGTTTGGATAATCTGTCCTTAGTTTCTTTCAAGCAGTTTTGCCAGCTTTCAATGGAGTTTTTTATTTCCTGGTAATCTCTCTGAACCTGCTTCATGTATTCTATGTTTTCTTTATATTCTTCATCAAATGTTTCTCTCCCTTTTTTGTGCTCCTCCATTCTTCTATCTGTGTCTTCTTGAGAGGTGCTTAGCATTTCTTTTATTAGTCTACTTACATCTTGCTTTACTTGGTTAAATATTTCACTTTTGAACTCATCTATGAGGTCCCAAAGATGTCTCTTAATGTCCACTGATGCTGTGTCTGATATTGCATGTTTGCTGTCCTCAATCTCTTTTGTATTTACCTCTCGTGGATCAATGTTCTCAGGGATAGGAGCTGAGGACTTTTTCTTGTTGCTTCCTCTTCTCATGTTTTTGGTTTCTTCCATACAGGCATATAGAGGAGGTCCCAGTCCCTTTCCTTGTTGGTTATGGTTCTTCTTAAGTGCTCTGGCTAGATAATCCTGCCCACTCCAGTGTGTTATTGTGGTGCAAACAGGGGCAGCATATGCTGGCTCCTCCTCTCCAGGTCAGTCAACCTGCTGAGGTCTTCACTGCATTAGTGTGTGCTGTGCATAGGGAATTGGTTTGGGAGAACTAATTTGGTCTCAGCCAGGGGCATGACCCAGGCCAAGTATACCCCACCAATCTCATTTTGGAAGGGAACAACTGACTGAACACTGCTGTTCCTTGATCTTGGCAGTCGTGCCCAATTCCAAAATGTCTTCTCATCTGTGCCCCTTCCCCACGGAAGGGTTTTATTCCTGGCACTCACCGCAGGTCAGTACAGGTCCCTTGCTGGCTCCATTCTCCATTGGGCTTGCCAACCTCTGATGTCAGTGCAGCTGCACTTCAGTGTGACTGCGGTTCCAGTGAGTCGAAGTGGTGGGAATTCTGGCACATGAGAGCACGGAATCTTAGCTGCCCCAGGACTGCATGTTTGACTGGTTCTTTTTGCTTTAGTTTCTTTCTAGGTCAAGAGGATCCATATCCTTCTGTCCGGGACTTCCCATGATGTGTTATTTCAGCATCTGAGTTGTCTGTCTCAGGGAACCTCTGTATTTTGCTCTTATCTATCCACCATCTTTACCAGAAGCCAAATGCTAAAATTTAAAGAAGAAATGAAACTTTAAAAATTCTAATAGTGATCAATGATTATAATAATTCTACAGATGGTGGTAATATAGTTGACCAACATCCAGGAAACTATCTTATAATCAAAAAGTGAGGAAAATATATTATTATAAAATATTTATGTACCTTCTGGACCAAGCAATATGGAACTCATTTGATATTTATTCAAAACAAGTGGTTTCAAAAAGTCATTTACAATTTAGATTAGATCTAGTAGACCAAATAATTGAAAAATACAGGATAATGAAACATTAACAAAGACATCCATCATTGACACCTTCATCATTATGTTTAGTGGTTAAATGCTTTATTAAAATTATATCACCTACAGAAAAAAAGGAAAGGCCAGCATGACAAAGTAAAATGTGTTGTTTCAAGGATGACAATAAGGCAAACAGAATTCAGAAAGATACTAGATACTACTGTTCAGACTGTAATGTTACTTTGGGTATTGAATATTATAAGGTATATCTTACAAAGAAGAGTTACTGAATAAATTTGATAGAATTGTTGATTTTATATTTCCTGTTATATTACCTGATAAAAATTAATGAAAAAATGTGTAATTTTTGGTTATTTTGTATTTAAATAATTAGACTAGTAAGTGGTTAATCTATCATTAAACTATCATCTCAAACAAGATAGTACATCAAATAAAATATCTGAATTTCTTGTCTGAAATGTACTACTATTGCTAAGGTTTATATCTAGATGTCCCCCAAGAGCCTCATGTGTTCAGATGCAGGCCTTTTGAAAGGTGATTGGATCATGGGGTGCTACAGATAAGTGTGATGTTTGTGGTGCATGTTTGGAAGGGAGGTCACTGGGGGATGATCTGGAAGGACATATCTCTCCAACCCTTTTCTTCTCTTTTTGTTTCCCAGCCACTAAATTGGGGGGGTGTGGTTTTTATTGTAGCATCATTACAGATAGCCTTAGAAATATTACGTATGCAGCTTTCTTCCATCTAGACCCTTCTCCATGCCATTTTGCTTTTAAGCCTGCTGACCATGGAGTGAAGCTTCTCACATGTGAGCCAAAATATGTCTTTCCTCCTTTAAGTAGCAATTGTTGGGTATTTTGTCCCGGTGACCAGTAAAGTGACTGAGACAACTATCATTGATTTGGGGAATTGTTCTACTGAGAAGCTTTCCTGAGGAGCAGAGTTAAGTTCTTTGGTTCAGGATAGAGTTGGAACTGAGATCTGGGGCATATTATATTAGAAGAGGATGTGAACTCAAGACACAATTCTTCCTTCTTTATCAAGCATGATTCTCATTCAGAAAGTTAAGTTTAGGGGACTTCATCTCTACATCCCTGTCTTGCACCAATACACAGTGTTTCATAAAGTTAGTGATACTAGAAAATGGTTAATTTCATACTGTCTAAATCTAGTGTGCCAGAGTGAGTCATTCCTGTTTTATATCCTGACTCCCTTGCTATAATGTCATGGCAGACAGTGTGTGCTCTCACCCCTTGACTTGAAGCATCATTGTGTGATTTTCTTTATCCAATCGATTATTAACAGATTGGATGCAAACAGGCTTGAAATATACCTGTACAGTTGGACTTGCTTTCCTGTGCTCCTGTTTTTTGTCTTGAGAAAAACACCCCCTAGATAACTACTGGAAAAAGGAAAATATGGAGACACATGGAGCAGATACGGACCAAGCATGTGGCTTGGAAGCAAGATCAGCTGAGTTGGATTTAGACGAGCCAGAGCAGCCAACTTGTGGATACGTGGGCATGAGAATCTATGCTTACTGTTATACATACTAAATTGGGGAGGTGGTTTTTATTGCAGCACCATTACAGATAGACTTAGAAATGCCTTATTTTCAAGGCTTTATCATTTATAATAAACTGATATTTTCATTTTCCATCACTTGAAATTCCGTATAAGAAATTTATGAAAAAGATATCTATTAGTTTATTTTGGCATAATATTTGTTTTTTTCCTACATTCAAGCAATTGGTTACTCAAGACTTTACTATATATTGAACATATATAAGCTGATAAAACTCAAGGATAAATGGTAGAGTGATGGTGAAGTTATACAGGGGAGTTATTAGATATTCAATTCAGCAAGTATTTGCAGAGTTCCCATTATTTACAAGTCCTTTTCTATGCACCAGGGACACACAGATAGAAAATCCTGCTTTCACGGAGCTTTACCCTAGTCATCACTCACCAGATATGGGGGTTGTTCTATTCTATAGCCGTAGATAGTACTCAGTATCCCACCATGGATAATGACAGTAAAAGTAACACAAAATCGAGCAAGTTCACATCACTGAGACCTTACCAAAGGACTTTTTTGAAGAGAAAAATGTAAGGAATGGATGAAAACCTGGACAATAAGTGGCAATCAATTTCATTTAAAAATGGGAGGAAGAAATCTGCCAAGTGGGAACTTTAAAAATATAAACACAAATCAAAGTGAGGATGTGCTTTCTTGCCAGGAGTTTATCTTAAGGTCAAGCAATGGAAGAGAAATACATAGAGCCTTGGAGTTACAATGATTTTACTTAGGCTTTCCCAACTTTACCATAATGCAAACACAACACACACTCTGTAGAGACTGTACTTTGAATTTTAAATTTTGATTCTTTATCAGTGAGTGGTAGTGAAGTATAATACTCTTTCTTAGTGCTGGGCTGTGACAGTCAGTCCCAGCCTCCAGTATCCACATGATCATGGTGTCCTACAGTCCCCTGCTGTTGCTTATTGTATTGTTGTTGAGCTGTGATGCTGAATCTGTTAGCTGTATTAAATACAGTTTTGGCACACAATATCTTCAACTTGCAAAGAACTTACCAGGGTATAATACCATCATATGTTGAGCATCTGCAGCCTCTAATCATTACCAATTATCCTGTGTGGGACTGACTTTCTAAGTAAATTGGATACTTCTCTGTGGCTAACCACCTATGTAGCCTCAAATATCCCCTGCTTCTTCCAGATCTCTTTGCTTGCAAAGAGATCTCATTCTTTTAAGCAATCTCAGTGATGTATCTATCTGTTCTGCTGAAAAAAAAAATTCCTGGTGCAAATTCTGATTTTATCTAGCACTTAAGCCTAGACATTTCCAAAAGTGAGAATGCCAGACAATTCCCCATGTATTCATTTGGTTGAGTTGGTCACATATCTCAATATGGATTGGAGATTCAGAAAACGATAATGACTTGTACCAGATAGAAATTTATTTCTTGTTCACACATAACTTTGGCTGTCCACAGTTGGTAGGGTGGTGCTCTGTGTTATTAGGGACTCTGGCATCTCCTATCATGCTGCTCCTGTATTCTTGGCCTCTTGTCTAAGATGGCAGCATCTACATTCTGGGTTACAGGATAGGGAAGATAAGAAAAAGGCATATCCCTGCTGCTTCTTAGGCAAGAGGCAATGTTTCTACTGGCTGAAATGTAAACATATCACTTCTGTCAGCCACCGGGGAGGCTGAGAAATATTCTTTATTCTGGGTAGCCATGTGTGTCCAGCTAAAAATAAGGGGATGTAAAACAATAGGAGGAGTAACTACTGGGGGTAAGTTAGTAACATAAGCTCAGATTATGCTATGGTATAAATAACCCAGTATATGTCAGTGGCTGGACATGACTCATCCTTATGTGTCCTAAGACCCACAGTGGACAGGTGCTTTGCCATCAACACAGAGAGCTTAAAAGAGGATCAGGGAGCGTAGAGATGTCACTCTGGCCAGCAAATGCCCATAACTGATGCACATCATTTCTGTTTTCCATTGCCCTGTCCTTCCCCTAATTACCAGGGAGGCTGAGACGTGTGCGAACGCATTTGATTATTACCAACAAAGCAGTGAATGCCTTTGCCATAGGAGTTAAAAGTTGAATTCAGTTAAAAAGTGCACATGCGTTGATGCATATACAATGACTCATTGCTACCACAGCTGAAGGCGTTTTACTTTTCTTTTGGTCTGAGGAACTGAACTGAGGTCCTCCCACACACCAAGCGTGTGTTCTACAACTGAGCTACATCCTCAGCCCGAGCAGAGGTGTGGATTGAGCACTTTGTCAGCATGTAGCTTTGCTTTCTTCCCACACTGTTTTATTTGTGGTTTGGAGCTCCAGTTTGCTTCCAGCCCCGACTGCCAATGTGTGCTTTCTGTGTGTATCCACAGTCTTGAAGAAATGCCCTGGGTGCTGATGCTAGATTTTTCCATTTGACACAGAAGAGGTCTCCCTGTAATGACAATAAAAATAGCCTCCATTTACGTTGCTCCATTCTTGTCTCTTTAACCGAAGGAGCCAATTAAATAAAGTGTATCTTTCGGCGCCGGTTCTGTATTCACTTTTAGATTTAATCAGCCCTCTAAACCTGCAGCATAACTGCCTCATAATGTCAAGCTAATATATTGAGATCAACTTGAACCTACCATTCCCAAGGGTGGTTTTGTTTAAAGGCGAGTTGTAATTGAATTTCTAAACAACCCCAAGCTTTCAAGGTACCAAAATAAACATTATCCAACAGAAATTTACCCAGGAGTCTTGCTTAACTTATATGTCCTCTAAGGAACAAGTTTTTTAGAAATTTTCTTGTTTTTTTTTAAAGTGAGCTGAACTCTTAGATATCCCTTTTAAAATTACTAACCAGCATCTTTCAATTTTTGAAGCATTCAAAGCTAAATACCTAGATTTACAAATCAGGTAAATCAGCAGTTGATTATTCATTGAAAACCAATTTCTTTGCTTTACAGAAAGTTCCCTTCAGGCTATTTTAACCCTTGTGCTTTTTCATTGTTCAAGGAAGTATCTTCAGGCCTGTTCCGTGTGCCCAGTGTAAAGTTTACATTCTCTTCCGCTGGGACTTGTTTCCATCGAGGGGGAGCATCACTTTGTCTTGGCTTTGGGATCTGCCTTGGGCATTGGTGGAGCTCACTTTGGGGTGTGTCCTGGAGACCTATGGAGGTGTGGGGTTGGCATCTCTATCTGGTCC